CCTAAGTTTCAATTAAGTTCAAAATGGCTCGCTGGAAGCTTAATTTGGCCCATCGGCGTCATACGGGGCATGGAGGTATGTTTTTATTCCTCCGTGTACGGGGTAATCCAATCATGTGAATTTGTTGTGTTCAAACGTACCTCTGTGCGGGCCCGTTTCCGGGCGAGAATCCCGGTAAAAAGGCCCCTTTTTTCGATGTTTCGAGTCATAGTTTGATAACCATGCGGTCTTTTTCAATGGGGTTAAACGGTTCTGTACAATTTAACTCTTTCTCTTTCTCATGGTATATGTTATTTTTTTTTATCTTGAAAAAAATCCACGTACTTTCGGCTTTGAAAATATGAACTTTTCATCATTTTCCTGTGTAAACATGGGCGTCGCGAGGGGGGGGGGCAAGGGGGGGCACTTGCCCCCCCCCCCCCTGGAAAAGCCAAAAAAAAAAAAAAAAAAAGGAAGAAAAAAAAAGGAAGAAAAAAAGAAAAGAAAAAAAGGCGCGAAGACAAAGTGGTGTAAATTAAATGAGTTGGGGGGGGGGGGGGATGTCCCTGCCCCCCTCTAAAACTGATAAATCGAGAATGTGTTGAGAAATACAAGCATTTTTTTGGCAAATTTTTTTTTTGCCCCCCTCTAGAAAAAATCCTGGCGACGCCCATGTGTGTAAACGCACCGATTGAGCGCCCTCGCGTCGACTCTTTTGACCGTAACTCCTGACTAGAGTATCGAATTGTGTGGGGGTAAACGGAATCGAATAGCTTAGCTCCTCCTCTTTCCTTACATGTAAAACTTGTTATGATTGGTTGAAAAAACCCACCGTACTTTTCACAAAGAAAAAAGTGGCCAATGACAACTTTCGATAGATAAGGCATCGTTCGAGACATACATTGATGTACCATTGCTTACCACGCGTTTCATGATCTTGGACTCTGCTCATCACCTGTTTTTCAGGACACGTTTTCTCCAATTCTACTTTAGATAAGACATTTAAAAACTATCCATTTGTAAATCAGTTATCTGGCATTAAAACTGTGGTCTTTTTAGGAGTTAATTTCATTTTAAAATAATGCAATTTTGGATCTGAATACTGTTCACTTCAAGGCAGTTATAGAAATTTGTGATGGAAGAACGTGCACTTGTTTATTGGGCTGTACCATTTTGTTTGTGGGGAGGATATCTATATGCATGTACACGTTAGTGTATACGTCAGATTTCTTAACGAATGCAAAAATGAAATAAGATGTTTATATCAAGTTTGACAAAATCAGACAAGAAGTTGTACTATTAGGCATACTTTCACATCGATATGTGCACAAATCCTATATGTACATTGTCATTGTATAGGTTTGTTTTAACCATTTTATGAATGGAATGTGCCGGGCCACATTTTAGGGTTGAACGCACAGCCACACAGGGCCAGCGTTAATCCGATTATGTAGCCCTGGACCTCTGTGTGGTACTCTGCGCGCCAGATTTAAACTGTAAAATTAAGTGAACAAAAGTTGGGGTAACAAATTCATATGGGATAGCACTATCCGACTCACAAGACTACAGTCATGCAGCCAGAGTATAATAAGTAGAAAGAGGACACTAGACTGGCTCTCTGGGACCAACCGGAACTGACAAATCAACGCGGAAACCGAACCGAGGCCAGTCACGCGGACCGTAGTCTGGTTCCCTGACCCATTGTCCTTCCACCCTTAAACAAAATGGGGAAACAGCCTACGACACGTGTACCCCTCAAAGTACAAAGGTCGCCAAATAAAAGCGGAACTGAATAGGCCTAATGCACGTAGTTCTCGCATTGACAAACCGATACGGACAGTTTCTGGAAAGAATGACGTGTATCGATAATCGATCCGGGTTTATTGTCGTCGATTTGGTCATCATTACATGGCAAATTTATAACATTTCCAACCTAAATATAAAGTGGCAGGCATAAACGATATTTATATTATTACGAACAAAATCGGAAGAAAACATTCAAACGACCGTACGGTGGTGTTTAGTTTAAATCGTACCGGTCCGTAGTAATACTTACAACATAGCGAAGGCACACTCCCGAAAGACGCAGCTGGACCTTATTTACAAAAGGTCATTAAATTCGTATTTTCACCGAAGCTGACCCCGACGTCGTAATAAACTTTACGCAGGTCGACTGCGATTGATTTTCCGCATCCATTTGTAATTATTGGACAATATTTCACAAGCTGCGTTGACGCGATTATCACGCGATATGAGTTGATATTTAGATTTTTTTTCGAGCACCGACAGTACAGACGCCGATAGTCGTATAAAAATCGCCCGGCCTGGGGGCGCCTTTTAAAGGCATGGAACTGAACGTTTCCCAATGGAAAATGAAAGTTCTTGTTGTACACTAGTGCGTCACTATTACTTTCAAAATCCTAGTTTAAAATGAAAGTCAGCAAACATATGGGTTTTCCCTCATTGTCTGAAAGGGAAAAAAAGACTTCATCCTCTAAATTTAGCAAACTCAAGAGCTTATAAATATGATTTACATTACAAATAAAGTGAAACAAGCAAAACCAACAGGCATAACATGCATGAGTGCAATGTAGACGTTTGTCCGCCTTTTTGACAACTGTTCGTAAGTAGCATTTTGTGACTTTATACTTTAAGCACAGTAAAAATAAAAAACACGTTTAGCGTCCCCACCCGCTTCCTTTCTGGTGGCCGTTTTTTGTTGTTGTTAAGTTTTTGTTTTGGAAAAAGCAAAAATGTCGACTTATCCATCGAAAAAAAAAAATACTTGCGAGTTGCAACTTCTAGTTCTAGACTCTATCGGTCACTTTACACATCACGCACTGAGTCGACCCTGCGATCTCCAATCCAAAACCAGCCTCGACGGTGGATCATGGACTGAGCGACCAAGCCCTATACTCAAACATTTAACCTTAAACTATCTAAACTTGTCACATAATATTCAAACTAATGTCCTCTCAATTTGCCTGAATTTTAGTTATTGTATTCTTATTTTTTTCCAGAATTTAAAAAGTAATCGTGGAAACGTGAAAGTGTAATCATTTCACACTGTAAAATCCTCAAGCTCGTGTAAAAAAATTCCAAATTAAAAAAAAAATCTGCAAAAAAAAAAGGAATGTTTTACTCAACACTAAAAAAAAAAGACGTATTTGAAAAGAAATCTCGGTAAACATCCTTTGAATACTTTTCAAACTTTAGAAAGTTTTTGATGAGTTCACACAAAGTTCAACCAAGTTGGTCACGTTCGATCCATTCATACCATAGACCATGGAGCTATAAAATAGCTCCATGCATAGACTGACACCAATTTGCCCTATTGATGACTAAATCGTATGACCCTGGTGAGTCAAACAGGTACGTGTACGCCGAATAATAGAAGCTCTTCAATTCCAACCAATGGCATGCATCCACAAAACTACCAAAGAATTGTGAAATACCTCACTTGACTGTAAATGAATAACAGTCTCAAGCATTCTTAACCAACTTTAGTCTGCCAACATTTTGTTTGCAATCGGTTATCTGTGAATGGGTGCAAGCCAGCTAGACTGGTTCCCTGACCTGACTATTGCCTGATGTTGTTGATATTTCATCTGACGTAGGGTCAGGGAACCAGACTACAAGACATTTTAGAACCTCATTATTTTTCTTGGTTTTCCAGTATTTATATGAACACAAAACTTTGAACAGTTTAGTTTAACAATATTTGCTATTAAAGTACTAATCCTCAAATCCGTCCATTTCTGAAAATTACAGCAAAATTACATAATGCCTTTTAAAACGATTGCTTGACATGTCCTATAAGTATAAGGTTTGTACACAAAAACATTCTGAGGATTTGGGTTATTGTAATCTCAGGTAATACTTTTAGTCCTCAGTTCTATACAATAACCCCAATGGCGGATACTACTGAGGACATGGTTAGGGTTAGGGCACATAAGTATTGGGGAACATAAAAATATGCACCCCTATGCTGTCACCAACAACGTACATGTATGCTTATAAAAAAGACTTTCCAAAAGTTTCTGAGAAAAGCTTCCCTAGCATACTCAGGTGGGCCCTATGCCATCCTGCTAGTTGACATGTTTTGATACTGAGTTGATGACCATAAAGAACAGAAAAGCATAACTATGCAAGCGGACATCCTGGAATTTCTTACACTGTCAAGAGCCAAATTCTATTTTATCATTACCAATGATTCTTGAGTCAGACGTATATTGAATATGGCAAATACAGCTGTTTTGTGTGGATAAATAGAGTTTGTAACCCTGCCTTTGACCTATAAATACTCTATACATGTGTGAAACGTCATGTGATCTTTACACATTTGTTAATATCTTTGACCTATAAATACTACACGTGTGTCATATGATACGTCATGTGATCTTTAATAATATCTTTGACCTAAGTACTACACGTGTGTCATGTAATGCGTCAGGTGATCTTTAATAATATTTTTTACCTATAAATACTATACATGTGATCTTGACACGTGTTTATATCTCTGGATATGAATCAAAATCTACATCAGAGTCTATAAAAAGATTTTTCTTTGATACACTTAAGCAATATTATTAATTGATGCAGTGTGAACATGCGTAAAAGTATAGTCTGTCACAAACCAATATAGGGCCCATCAGGCCGGCGTATTTCTCTGGTTTCCTTGGCATGAAATGACTGAGAATATTTCTACTCCCCTTGGATGGGATGCCAGTCCATCGCAGGTTACTCCCCAGCTAATGCCGGTACCCATTTATACTCCTGGCTGGAGAGAGGCAAGTGGGGGTGAAGTGGCTTGCCCAAGGACATAACATATGGCCAGCAGCAGGATTCAAACCCTGAACCTCTGATCATGAGTGACGAACCCTAACCGCTAGGCCATACTCTCCTTTGATGCTATATATTTTTAATCATAAATCATGAAATCCCTAATATGGCAGGATTTAGGTAAGGCTTAACTGACAAATCCTTATTTTGGGGAAAGAAATGATGTCATATTCTTCTTCTCTTTTTCTTTTCGCTCCAAGTTAGGCAGGCACACTAAAATTCATTTCCAATCAGAGAATTCAGATAATTGTTCTTGTCTTTGTTTTATGTTTGTCTACTTATGTTTGTAAATTGTAAAAATACAAGCTGTAAAAACAGTTTTGTCAGCAATATTGAAATAAATGTTTGTATGAATTGAATTGAAATTGAAATATCAATATATTATTACAAGAATCATGATTTCTTTCTTTTATCAAATATCTGCAATGTTACCAATGAATCTAGCCAAAGATTACTGTATTTTGAAGTTGAACCATGATACCCTTTTACCGTTGTAATAGCATTTGTTGACGTAGCATTGAGCATTGACCAATGAGATCATTACTTTGGGCCAGGTGACCTCAGTCAAGAGCGGTCCACTCTGCATGGTTCCCACAGGCATTCACTCTGCCCCCAGCTTTGAAAACACAGAACATCCCTTAACAGAGGTTGCATGATGAGCAATACTTTTCAACCATTTTCATATTTTCTCCCCTCATTTTTCAACCATTCTCATATTTTTCCCCTCATTTTTGCTTAATAAGACAGCTACTAGTTACTTTACCCAACAGGCTGTGTGTATGCTAGCTACTGTAAACATGGTATGTGCCCTAATGTTTCTCTTTCGTTGGAGCGCCCTCTAGCTATTGTAAACATGCTCTGTGCCCTAACGTGGCTCGATCGTCAGAGCGCCCTCTACCGTTCCTGCACGCAGCCAATAACAGCACCACATCACTTTCTTCCGAAGGAAAATGAAAGCCTTCATTCAAGGCTGATCAGAGGCGAAGTATCCGAGGTTCTGTCCTCCTCTTCGTGAACGGCATTCACCGATGATGTCATGCTGGGGTTTCCCCTTGTTGCCTCTGACCCTTGACCCTTGGCATAGTGGACGTTCCTCCCAAGTTGAAATATCGGCTCATTTCGGATACCGGGACTTTTTGCCGAGGAGGAGGGGGCTCTTGGTCGTTTTGCCTGTGTATACAAAAAGAAAAATATGAATGAGAAAAAATGATAATGATGATCAAGAAAGTTGTAAAAAGATGTCAAATCTGTTTTTTTTCTTATACAGCAATGTCTACACTTCTTAAGAACAACCTGGACCCTGGTGGTCTGAATTTCAACTTTGAAGGGAACAAAAAAGAAACCAAAAAACGAGAATATGCTTTTACAATACAAGCTGTAAAAACTGTGGCATAAATCCATGTAGGTGAGGGGGGAACGGGGATCAACACGTGACACTAGGGGCGCTGTTTATGAGTCAAATGTACATGTCATCATTGTCATCATGCAAACTCTTATGTCCCTTATTCTTACAAAAAAATGGTGTTTATAAATCTCTCAGACTGATTGTTCTTCATTTTTCAAAATATATTTCAGAAGTTTGGACCGTTGGAAATGGTTACAAAGCATCTGTTGGTTTTTCACAATATTCGGGGGGGGGGGGGGGGGGGGGGGGGGAGGGGAAGGGAAGAAATGATCCAATGTACCCCATCCCCCCACCCACCGTCAAAAAAAAGGGGGGGGGGGGGGTATATCCTCCACATCCCCAACAGGATTTATGCCTTTGTCATCAAACAAAAAAGATTTCAAGCAAATTTAATCAATTAAACATGTACAGTACTGGGAAGGGAATATACATACAGCATCACACACGTATGTAATTTGTGCATTTATCCAACTTAATTATTTTACAAATACACTTTGAAACTGAAATAATAAGTACCGGTATCTTTTGTTTCCATTGTGAAGAACAACAATACCACTTCCTTAAATGAGTGTATTTTGAATAGCTCCACTATATAGGGAAATGCATGCATGCAAGTGACATCATATCCTTTTCATTATGAAAAAGGAAAGAGGAAATTACACACAGATAAGATAATCTTAAGTCATATTACGTCACAAATATTGAAGGGATTTTCCATAGTCCTTAAATAAAACTTACGGAAACTTTTTGAGCTTTCCGAAACATATTGGCAAGGAAACATAATCCCATTGCAATCCTTTGATCCCCTGAGCACATGCTAACTGCACATTTCAGGGATGATATTTACATTATAAAAGCTTTATTTATTTCTGCACAATACATTTTGCACTGGTCAAGTAAACAATGAAAAAGGAACTGCCGCTCTGATTTCATTGACAACTACATGTACCTCCTGCTGAGCTTTTGAAATCCACACCTTAAAGATTACTATTCTTTAACTTCTCTTTGTGGACAAGTGCCACTACTCCGTTTGTGTACTATGTGGTTTTGAGGTTTTCTCCTGACCATTATTATCCAAAAGTCATGTCCGATGTAAACAAGCGGTTTTTTTTTGTCTTTTCTCGGGAACGGTAAGATATTAGGTTGGTTTCCTTTCAACCAGATGTTTGAAATAGGATAAGTAAACAATCCAAAACATGAAATTTTCGGGGATTTCAGGACCTAGTGCCCCTTTAAGAACGGGTATTCTGCTAACTCTGTACTTCTATATTAGCCAAAGCATTTAGTGTGGATTTTAATCACAGATGGTCAAAAGGGGGATATATCCCATCCCCCCCCCCCGTTCAAAAGAGGGATACACCCCATTCTCCCCCCCCCCCCCCCCCCCCCCCGGGCCCCGGATTAACAGCCCTGCCCTTACATCATAATAGGGTGTAATGTCATATGCCATCATTTTAATCCTTAACAAAATAATCAGTCATAAATCCACTGTCATAAGTCCACCTATCTTTAGTTCAAGTTGAAACGTATAAAAATCAAATAAAAAACTTCATCGCATAATAAATAATGAGCCTTTCTTTTTTCTGTGCCTTAAAAAAACTCACAGTAACACTTGCACTTTGATTTTGTAAGTAAGAACAAGGTGTCAAAATGGCAACCTAGCAAAAAAAACAAACAAAACAAAACAAACAAAACTTTGGAACACTGTCCGCACTTCATACAATGCATAGTGCATGGTTACTGTTTACACATCAATGTAAATAGCCATGAAAAATTCCATTGCGGACACTAATGCCATGACCAAGGCTTTTAAATAACGATGTTGAAAAAAAGAAAAAACACCCTAAGAATGAAGTTGCTACTAACCCCTGACTCTATGATGCCAGTATCTTGCTGCACTGACTGTGTCCGAGCCATCTTAGCTCGGGCAACTCTCACTCGACGATGCACATCTACAAACTCGTCCGTCTCGTCCACTATCTCCTCCTGAAGGAGCTCCTCGATGATGTCTTCCAGCGTGATGATGCCAAGGATGTCCTAGACAAAGAGCAAGACCATGTTGATCAAAAAAGAGGGGAAACCATGTTGTAGCCGAGTACCCCTCACATCCAAGTACTCTGACCTTGTAAAGAAAATTCTGTGAGGCGAGTCTGAGGGCTTCCAAGTACGAGTACTTTATGGAGAGCTCAAGTGAAAAACAATCAAAATCTCAAGAAATGAGATCCAACGCCGACACTGGTCGCATATCGTACTCAAAGATGAAGCATGTAGTCTGTGCAAAGACCAACACAAAAGAGATTGATCCTCTCCACAGCCCAGGTCATTGAGTATGCATGTAATGGACTAATCAAAGATCAAAGATGAGAAAACCGAACCAGAAAGGGAGGGGGGGGGGGGAAGGGGAGGGGAGAAATTGTGTCCTGCTCAACCAGCTTGACCCTTCCTGATTGTCCATCAAACAGTAGTGCACACTGACCGATAGTCAAACTTGGACACAAGTATGGCCAAATCTCGAATGGTCTCAGTAAGGTGCCTACAAGTACAAATGTACATATAGTTGCTGAAGGAGTCTATCTTGCCTAAGAAAATGGACAAGTACAGGTAGCATAATGGTACTGTCTGAGTTTCAACATGTTTTGAGGAGTTCTGGAATTTCCCAGGGTACAAGGTTCGGAGTTGAAGGCACTATCAGGCCCCTGCACTTCACAACAATGGAAAACATCGAGCCATTGTCTTCCTAAATTACATTGTTTACATTTGTGTAAATACCACAAATATGTACATAACAATGATCAGTCTGGTTAACATGTGTAACCGGTGAAATATTTGAAGCATATTTCAACCATATATTTTTGGCACCTTTACTTTTCCTATCTCTTTTGAAAGTTTTATGAATGTTTTGTAACCCATTAGTCGGTACGTGGAATTGCTTTTTCACAAGTTTTGAATTGGTTTCATGTTCATGCATTTTCCAAGGATTGAAATTATTATTATCTTCATTGTTTTATGTACATGTTATATTGTGAGAAAATCGTCTTTTGGCCCTGGGTGGGTCAACCACACATTCCAGGTTTCTGGGAATTAACTCCAGGCAGGAGGCCTGACTACATGTACCCTATTATTATTCATTAGACTCTAGCTTTTCTACACTTGATTTGTCACCTCTTTACCAATGACTGTTAATTCATAATCCCTATGTGGTCTGCCCAGGAATGTGAGGCACTGGCCAACATCCTGTGGTTTAGCTAGCTTTGTTCAGTCTTGTATTAGCCACCAACAAGAGCACACACATGTTGTAAAGTTTTGTGATTTAAAGAAAGTTTTACAGCACTGGCTGCGCTTTGCTGCTATGCGGCCACTGAGGAGAAATAAAACAGTACATTTTCCATCTCAACTTGAAGATCCTGTGTTCCCCTGGTCACGCATGTAATTCAACAAGATACACAATCTGCTTCAACTGCAATTTTAGAACTTGAACTGTTATATCGTGTGCTTGGAAGTCGGATACTGCAATTTGATTGGTCTAGAACTGCCATGTGTCTTGTCCATGAAAGCATGTACAGTGGTTGAGCTCATGTTGCGTGTACAACCTGAACATGCTTTCACGACTGAGATGAGAACTGCATGCATCCAATGCAGAAGTGGGATATGCCGTTGTTTTACCCCCTCTGGGTGCATAGCAATATACCCCACATCACAGGCGACAACAGTTGTTAACTGAAAAAGCAAACACACTATTGTATTCGTAAAAAGAAACTCTTGAACATTCTTCGGTGATTGTCTAATGTCGCTGAACTTTAGGAAATTTCTCATCAATTGACGTCAGTGGGATTCCCCATGTGAGAAATGTATACATTGGACTATAGGGTGTGCCATTCCGAAAAATACCTCAAGTGAATTAGCATTAAGGCTATACACAGTACATCTTCCTCCAAGACATAGGAAATGACTAAGATGCGAGAAACCTGTGTACATGCATACATGTAAATGCCAAGTGTATTTTATTGTGCCGTGTGGCATCTTTGTGAGCTGTACTACAACTTTCTAAACTCCTGAAGACAATCCAATCATACTGATTGAAACATCAGTGTTTCATCAACACTTCTCAGAACAATGTTCTAACAACTCAATACTTCGAATCTTACTTTTGGTTGTGAGGCTCAGTGTTACAGTTCGTTTTCTGGTGAGTATTGAACTTTTGTCTAAAAATACAAGACTTCTGAAATTATAAAAATGTGTATGCTTTGATTACACCTAACCTTCAAATTGATGTCTCAGCTTTACATGTAAGATGCCTATCGTCAATAATGCAGCTGACACCATAGCCCCAACCGTCCTCAATCCTCCAAAATCTTGGATTTTGGAGGATCGATACTGTAATTTCATTGGTTTAATTTGATTGACACTGTAATTTCATTGGTGTAGTTTCAACATCATGAATTTTTGGGGGATTGAGGGTGAATGGTGTTTGAGAAACATGGGTTTTTTGGAGGATTGAGGATAAATGGTGTTTGAGAAACATGGGTTTTTTTAGGATTGAGGATGAACGGTGTTTGAAGAAGAGGAGGATTTTGGAGGATTGAGGATGAATGCATTTTGAGAGGCAGGACTGTCTGACGATTTTGAAGGATTGAGGCGCTGGGTATCCTTCATGTGATCATAAGTGCACAATTTTGGAGGATTTTGGAGGACTGAGGATGGTTGCTAGCAAAAAGGGCCAAGCAGGTTGGGGTTAATAATTTTGGCAACAATGATCGCCAATGGGTACCGTGTACGTGCACCTAATGATAGAATTTTAAAATGATAAAAAAAGCCAAATATAATAATTTATAAATTCCCTCTACAATAACTCACAGAAGGATGACATCATTATTCTTGAACTTTCAAAGAGAATTTTTATTGTCCAAAGAAAGATTAGCAGCAAATTTGTACACCTTGGAAATAACTAGTTTTTGAGTAAAATCCATCTATTTCATGAAATCTGAAACTGAAAAGCAGTTTTGGAATCATCTGAGTCGGTGTGTCAGTCAGTCAGTCCGTGAGATAAAACACTAGGCTGGCCCTCTGGGACCAGCACAAATCGGCTGTAAATGCTCAGAACTACACAAATGGGGTGTGAACATGCAACTTACCCCTTCCTTCCAACTGAAACTGTCAACTTGGTCGGCGCCCTCTAGAGGTGACCTCGGAATCGCGGTGTCTGTCGATGACGTGACGGCCGCCATGTGGCATTTCCCAGTCTGCATCTCGTTTAACAAATCGTAGAGAGGCAAGTGACCGGGCACCGTGGGGAGGGTCCGGCCGTGCTCTCGGAAGATCTCCCCCACAGTGGGGGCCGTGTTGGGATCGACTTTCACCAGAGTCTTGACCAATAGAATGCCCAAAATGTTGCCACGGTGACCCTTGTAAACTGGTATCCGTGAGTAGGGACCCTTGACGAAGACCTGCCGAATGAGAAAACATAGTAAAAATTAATAGAAAGACTTACATACGCGAACAAAATAATTTGCTGTTTTTCAAATTTTTGTGAATCTGCAGCCATCTTTAAAAAAAAGATTTTTGGTTTTTGGATGCTTTTACGCCCAAAAGTACATTCTTTTGAGACGACCTCAAAAAGTTTGATAAAATGCCGTACCTTTTCCATACACTCGGCATCCATTCGTCTCTGTGCGTCCAGCATGAAGATACTCTCCAACGGCACGAGGGCGTCCTTCACCACCTTGTTGCGCATACTGAGGGCGCCCTGTATGATTAGCACCTCGTCTTCTGTCAGTGGTTCCTCATTCTCTTGCTGTTTCTCCTTGTGAATGCTGACCATGGCACTAAGCTCTAACGAAAAAACAATACCAACACAAAACAAGATTAAGTCTGGATGTCATATCAACTTGAGTTTCGTTGCTCATCCAAATTCAGAAACAATTCCACTGACGGCCCAGGGCAAGTTCGAGCAAGTACCAGCTAACTAGTGGTTGGTTTGTGACATACCTAGCGCATTCACACTGAAGTTGAAGTGCGAACGACTTTAGTCAAACTATTGTCATGTGAACGACTGTCAGAAAATGGCGATCGCACAATTATTCAACACTTGTTATTTCTCTTTATTTACAAACTACACAAATAATAGTGATTGTGTACAGTTTATGACATCTTACATACATGTAATCGCCAATATTATTGTACAATGGTGACAAAAGTGACAGAATGCAAAAACTGTGCAATGAAAATGAAATTTAGCGCTCGCAGTTTTGTTTTCCGCCATTTTCGTTGATAGTTGGTCCCCGCTGCACTACGCTATGGAAATTGTTCTTGATAACCAGCTATAAATCGTTGCATGACCAGCCGCGGTTAGGTGGTTCCAAATAGTCGACTACGGAAGTCAACCATCGTCGACTAGACAGAGTTCGGGCTAACTTTAGTCAAACTATGTTAACTATTGGTCAACAATAGTTCTTGCGCGAACTTGCCCTTGGATTTAGTATTAAATATGGTAGACACAATAGGATGGCACTATTTTTAAGTGTGTTAACTTTTTTGCATTGACGCAAATTCCCCGACTGTTCCCATAAATGTCTCTTGATTTAAGAGCAAAAGTTCCTGTAAAATCTAACCTGCTCTTCGGAAGAAGGTTCCGTGCTCGTGTCCCAGGATACAGTCTAAGACTTTGGAGATGGGCCAAGCAATCGGGAAAAATAGGATCATCAAAATTACAACCAATCTGTTGTCAAAAAAAAATACAAAAACAAATTAAAGACTGTTTACCACAAAAAGGGAATAACTTTGCTATTGAACATTAACGGTATGGAAGCTATTTTCCACTACTCCGCAACCTTAACCCTCCCCGAAATGTTAATGTTGGATAGTCTATATACCTACCAAGTTTCAGTCCAATTAGAATGGTTATTCTCTTAAAAAAAAGGGGACTTTGTAGAAATTGAAACAATCCAGTTGAAATTCCAAATTTAGTCGGGCCAAGTATCATAAGGATGACCTTTAGAAGTGACTAAAATCCAAGAATTGTCTTGAAAACTGTTTAAAACAGAAAAAAACACCCAAATTTACTTTCATGTACCAGCAACATTTTTTACAAATATACTTACGGAGATAACCATGCTCCTATCGCCAGCCCGTACCTTGTACATATAGCCTGCGGTACAACTCTGCAAATGTGAAGATTGAAAAAAAGGAGAAAATAAAACAATGGGCAGACTTTGCCCGTGTAGCGATATGGATTGTATACGACTCTGGTAAAATGATCGAATTATATAAAGTTGTAACCAAGAGCATAAATTTGACTTGTTTCCGATAGTGAAAGTAAAGTTGCAAAACTAATGTTTTCATTTTATTGAATTTTACCACTGAAAACAGGAAACAAAATCAAGGTAAGGTTTCTAAGGCCAAAAAAAAAAGTCTCTGGTTTCTGGTATGGAGCTTGCCCCAAAAGTGGTGCGGCGATGCGACTTTTTTTTTTTTTGCTTCAAATGTCGGGTGATGACTGCAAATGGTGCCGGACTCAATTTAGTACAAATATATGGGAGTCCAGAGAGGCCACATAAAGCTTACACTCGATCGTAACCCCATCTGAAAACACGTTAAAATTGTGCAGCAGCAGGATTCCAGTCAAACCAGTGAATTTTGCAGTTTTGAGACACCATCTTACATTGAAAAATTTTTGCCAACGCGTATGGCTACGGCGACATGCGCGCAGACCAGAAACCGAAGACTTTTTTTTGGGCCTAAAGCAGGTCTCAGAGTGCACAGAAATCTATTCAATTTATCCAGAACGGCTATTCACTGGAAGTCTTTTCATGCTTGTTGTGTAAACAATGGGCCTATGATGCGGTAATCCTATATGATGTCACTGCCCGGCTTGTCTCGCCAGCCAACAGGGCGGGAGTGATAGTCAGTCAGTCAGTCTGAAAGTTCCAGAATCCAGAGTATATTCTGCCCCACCCCAGGGGAACGGTATGCATGAATGCATGGATTTACAATGAATGACATCCTGCTGATATGAAACTTTTCGTCTTACTTTTTCATTTTCAAATCCAGGATCATCATTCAACAACAGTAAAGGACCTACCTTTGAATCACATTCATGCGAACAAACTCATGTCAAATGAATACCAGTACCAACAGAGGTAATGATCAAAACGTTTTATACTTGCATTTATAACACCTCACCCACAGATTCTGTGTCTTGATTGGCCGAGAGCAAATCACATGATACTTTCTATTTTTGCTATCTTTCTGTACACGGCCAAAAGTACTGTGCCCATAGCAACCAAAGTACTATACCATTAGCAACCAAAGTACTATTTCCACGGTGCGGTATTTGTGTGCAAATGCATGCTGGTGTGCGCGTTGCGCGTTGTGCGTATCGCGTTTTGTTCCAAAGAGAGCGCGCCACAGAGTTGGGTTCAAACATTTCGTGAAGGGGTAGTTTGGAAGAGAGAAATACATTTTCCACCAATTTTGTATTGAAATTGAAGTTTATTTCAACTGTGTTCAGATTTAAATAATTTAAAATCTTAAAACCAAGCAGAATCTGTGGGTGAAGTGTTATAAAACAAATATTGAATTCTTTATCTCGTGGTGAAGTAAAACTAGTCTCCTCGGTGATCCATGGACCATTCTATTTTCCCTCGGCTTCGCCTCAGGAAAATAGAATGGTCCATGGATCACCTCGGGAGGCTAGTTTTACTACACCACTCGAAGCATTCAATATTTGTATAATATTTGCAACAAAACTGAGAATATTACAATAATTTCTGCCCTAACTTACAGCTTCTCAATGTCTGCTGCTGTTCTTTAGCAAAATACCTAAAATTACCGTGATTTTCAAAATATTAGTTATTTTGTTATTAGTTATTTTGTTATTGTTCATTCATTTACTTTTGGAGGTGAATTTTTGATTGACTAGTAATTTGCTTTTGAAAAGACCTATGACCATGGCTTATGATGGACAAACAACAACAGTGCTCAGTGGTGCCCCAGAGCTAGTAACAAAAATCCCAAGCTTTGGTGAAAGAGCAAAACTAAATTCAAATACTACTCACTCTCCGAAGAGCAGCACTGCCGTGACCGACACAACGATGGCAATAATTTCGTTGGTGACTTTGCCCAGAAAGATCGGCATCGACTCCACTGCCCCCGCGTTGGCCAACAGTAACGTGACCAGTAAGAGGTGATGGCGCTCCACGATAGGAGTGATGCGTCTTGCGTAACGCTGCTCGTGGGGTTTGCCGCCCTCTGCGAGCACGCGCAGGCTGAGGATGTCGAGGGAGAGGAGTCCCATGGTCAGGCCTGACATCAAACCTTTTGGGTGGAATCAAAAGATGTTAAAATTTCAATGTGTGCGGGAAAACAATTTATGGGTTGAGAACAATAGGCCATACCTTTAATTAGTAACAACATACATGTATTTTGGGGTATAAAGAGACTTGAATCATGTAGTTTAGGACATCTCTATTTATTACATTTCCGTTCAGTTAAAAAAATTACTTTTGCAAAGGACTGTCAATTCCAATATGACTTTTGCAGCCTCCAACAATCTTTTTTATTTAGGTGAACTCTTTGAGGTTTTTATAAATTGATCAGTACTTTGGAAGAAAAAGCAACTTCGTTACCTATTTTAGCAGTTAGTGACTAGTGAGTCACAGAAAGTTTTACCCTTTAATTTCCCCCATAAAACAAAACTCTGCACTCTACAAAATTAAGCCTGCTGATATTCAACATGGTATCTTAGCAAACTATTTAGCGAACTGGTATCTTAGCGAACTATTTATGTGAGTCCAAGCTCATAAAGTGACTTTTCCTACTTGTATCATCGCCTAATGTTTAGTCCAAAAACATCAAAGAGTATTTTCGTTCCCTTACACAGTATGGAACAGGGTCTTAAACTACACGATTACCAATCTTTTATTTGCCTTTTGGTAAAGTTACTCAATAACACCTGCGTGCAATTTTGACTGTACCCCGAAAATTGAAATTAGGCCAAATAAAAAAAACAAGCATGTTTCTTGTCCGGGTTTTTGAAAAAAATAAGAAGGAAGCGGGGCTTTATATTTTCTATTTTCTTCAAGATGGCCGCCAGTTTAAAATTTCCTGCAACCATTGGTGTTTCCACTGTTCAAAGACACTTTTAAAATGAAAGACAAGTTGGACAAGAGAACTGAACATATTTACAGTGTAATTTAGAGTTGCATTGGTCTACAATGAACAGTTTTAGATGCATTTGATTTTTTCCGTGTTTTTTTACTGCATTTTTCAAAAAAAAGAAATAATAAAAAAATCCAGGCGGCCTTCAAAAAAGAAGCGGGCAGGGACAAGAAACAAGTTTTTTTTTTTACTTCGCCTTATTATATTCCATTCTCTCAAAATATGACCGGCTTAAGGCTAAAAGAAGAAGTATGTTTAGCAGCAAATTCAGGATTGGTCAAAGAAAGGTAGCCAGGATGTTGAAGTCCAAATTTTTTTGGGGGGGGGGGGGGGGGGGCTGGATAAGGCATTACAGGGAAGATATAAGACTACCCCTACCACCCACCTGCAAAGAGGACTAGTGCACAGTAAATGCCAACGTAGACCCAGAACATCTCGTCGTGGTAGTCCAGGGGTGGTTCTGTCTCCTTGAACGTGGTGCCATTGCATATGATGGTCTCTGGGTCCACCTGGGTGCAGGTAATTGAAGCCCCCTCAAACATGGTGTTTTAGAGGTCAGCTGTCAAACCTACAGAACAATTACAAATCTGTGTGATATAAGGAATCTGATAAGGTCATTTAATTTCAAATACTGGACTTCCACTGTATTTGGAGCCACATAGCAATGCATTGCCAGGCTTAATTCCATGAAAATTCCTGTTTTCTGAATTTGAAATCTAGACTGTTTTTTCCTCACATATTCGCTATTTCCCCCCCACATTTTCGCTATTTTTCACATATTTCGGTCGATCGTGCCACCATAAGTCTATGCTGCCATCGGTAATCTGTCGATCACCTTTTCCTTCTAAATCACAGTTCTGGAGGACTTATTTTGACAAAGGAAGTAAAGTCTGAAGTTTCCTACATTACTTGTGTGTGGCTCTCATTACAAAGAAAGTACAGTTGATTCAATGGATCTGCGCTTTCACTCAATTGCGCAGAAATGCACTTGCACGATCGGTCCATCCTTAAGAAAATCTTAGATTTTACTTCCCATTTTCAAAACAAATCCGCTACTCGCTAGAGCCTAGTCTTCTGACTCTGAGGATCAGACAATGACATTCATGTGGGCAAAGCCACGTTTGAATCAATGTCTGATAAATGCACACTCGCAAATTTTATGCGACCCTGCGCACCAGCCAATTGGAGTGGTTTTTTTTTTAGGCTGTGATGTCATTTCGATCAGAAATGTGGATTAAGCTGTTGATTGGTTGATTTGGATGCCATGTTTTTGTAATACCACAACGGGTTACTAGAAGACCCGTGGTAAGAACTTGGCGCCTGCTGAATGTTCAGAATCTGGAGGTCAAGATGCAGTTTTATTTTGCATTTATCCCGAATCTACTCGCATTACATACTATTTTCCCCCATAGACTAGACTCTTGCTGTGCGAAGTGATATTCCATAGACTAGACTACCCTAGCCACAGCCGTGAATCAAAAAGAAAGGTGATCCACTGATGGAGGCGCGACTGACGAAACATATATACAAAGCACGACCGACCGATTGCCTAGATCCGCTGAATATTCCCCTTGCCCACGCAACACCACATGCACAGTCATTGACAGTGCAGTATTGCCCGCTCAATCGTCATGTTCAACAACATAGCTAACCTAGAATGCACTACACATGATGAGAGCTGCAATGGTCAATATGGCCGAATAAAACAGTAGGCCCAGTAAATAAGCATGGCCATGGAGAAGTACAGAAAACGAAACTAGGCATAGGGCCTAAACTAGCCCCATAAATGTGGCCTATTTACTGGACTGCCTCCGTAAACACGGAGGCAGTCCAGTATAGCCACATTTATGGGGCTAGGCTAGCTGGAGTTACCCAGCCCTGAGTTTTATCATTGGGTTGTCATCTATGACAACCCAATGATAAAACTCAGGGCTGGGTAACTCCAGCTAGGGCTAGGCCTAAACCAACCCAACTTTTGTTGTGTGTAAAAACATAGAGCTGTTCCTTGCTCTATTGTACAACTAATTCCTACGTAAATTGTACGTAGAATATACAGACAGTAAAACACCATGGCCAACATACGTTTTTGGAACAGAAAGTACAGAACAGAAACATCATGGCAAAGCCAAAGGAAGAAAAAGAGTAGTTGTACTGGTATGGTACCCGCGCGCCAGGTACCAGCCATATTGCACGGGGCCGGGGAATTCCGGCTTTAAATAAGAATACGTGTAACGTTAATATTTAACAACCACGGGCCCGTTGCCGTTGGAACCAGGCACAAACTAGACAAAGCTTTGTTTTTTTTAAAGGTCATACAATAGTTTACTATAGTCATTTTCAAGTTTTGTCAGTTATAGAAGTAAGCCAACATGCAAAAATGATAGGTAAGTTTAGTTTTAACGGGATTTTCTGCTGACAAAAACCTCGCCCTTACCAATTCGCCCCATTGAATTTTGTAGTTTTGGGGGCGGAAAATATTAGGAGGATGTCGATGTACTAGCACTACATGCATGACATGTAGCACACTTTAGCAACAGCAGTTTACTTTTGGATAAAAAAAAGGTGGAATTCGTTTAGGACACCTCTATGTTTTACCCACCATTGGCATGATTGGGGGGGGGGGGGGGGGGGGGGGGGGGGACTACATGATTACTTAAACAATAACTGCATGCTCGTGATGATGTATTTCATTTTGCTTTCAGGTTCAGGTTTAACTAGCCCCATAAATGTGGCCTATTTACTGGACTGCCTCCGTAAACATAGGCCACACATCCACATGTACAAAAATCGTGTCGACTTTGCCAAATTTTGATTTTCACATTTAGGCTTAGTTTGTAGGATTTTTTTGCTTTAGAAGCATACTCACCCTCTTTATAGGCTAGTCAGAAAGTGCTGCCTTTTTCAGATGTCTAATTTTTGTGAAATTTCATGTTGAAATTTTGATACGCAAACGTGTAAAAAATGAATCTGGAAATTTCACAAAAAATATACATCTGAAAAAGGCAGCACTTTCTGATTACCCTATATAGAGGGTGAGAATGCTTCTAAAGCAAAAAAACCCTACAAAGTAAGCCTAAATGTGAAAATCAAAATTTGGCGAAGTCGACACGATTTTTGTACATGTGGATGTGTGGCCTATGTTTACGGAGGCAGTCCAGTAAATAGGCCACATTTATGGGGCTAAGGTTTAACATGTTTATAATGATTTGTCATGGAAAAAAATGCAGTTGGCCTATCCTAAAAAATTAAAGTTCAAGTTGAAAATCAACCACAGGTAAAACATGTTAACATGCCAATGATTTCATGATTCATAACAAAAACATACTTTTGTTTAGATGACGCAAGCTGCCTCCAACTCCAAGTCGGTAGAGAAACACTACAAAGTTAACAGAACTTGGTCAGAAGTGAACCATTTCAAAAGTATTTGATATATTTGTCGGCCCCCTTTTGCACATTTTCAGTTGTTGTTAATCAGTCATGTCAGTATCATTCATGAATTGACGTCCCATATGTTGCCCCAAATGAATTGAGTTGGCACTTGTAAATTGGGGAATATATTCAACTGTGTTCTCTTTGATGAAAAAGATAAGGAAATACCCATCTAACAGTAACACTGCAGTAACAATCATACTTACTAGCTTATTTGTCAAGTTTTAAAAGAAATGAAATCGATTGTTCTTGAACCAGAAACTGGACATTTATGGAAAGGAAAATTGTAATGTGCAACCCTGTTTATTACATGTAATGTATGCATATTCACCAAAAAAGCTTTGACGATCCGAGGTGTGGCTGTGGTAATATTTACCATAGGGTATAAAGTACTTCCTCTATCTACATGTACCATTGTCTACTATTAAATTACAGTGGAAGGTTTCAAGGAGATAGTTTGCATTGACTAATTGAGGTGAAGTCCCGCCTCTGTATTTACATGTAAATGAGCTTGCATGGCTGACTAGTGACTGGCTAGTGGGCCTACATGTATTTGGCTAGTGGGCGTAATCATTAGACTTGTTCAGGTCTTCACTAGTCCACTGATACTATTGATGATGTACTGGATTTATTTTACTTTTAATACTTCCATGTGACGACATTTGCTTTTTTAAAAACATTTGCTTTTCTGAAAAATCAAAAGAGATTTCAAACCATGTCAATATGTAAACCACACGATTGCTAGTCGATTTTACGGGCAACTATTTGCTTTTGGTCCTTCATTTTAAGTGTAGTAATCATTCCAAAATGACTTCAGCAACCTGAAGCAGTCTTCTTTTAATTCTAATGACCCTAATTTTGAACAGTATCATTTGGTGGAAAATGCAATTTTCTCGTGCATTTTTCAGATGAAGTCCATGTGAATGAACACGGTACTTTTCGCAGGGGTCAGGGCCTGTGCATTGCAGTGATGGTCATTTTTATTTATTTATTTTTTTTTGGGGGGGGGGGGGGTGTCGTCTGCATGATGTTGCATCGTTATTTTACCCCAAAATTTCCCTTAAATAAATCTAAGCCTGCTCTCTATCAACAACATTCCTGTCAGTTTTTATAATCATCACTAACTAGTATCCTTGGGTGATCTGATACACCGTGCCCTCTGGAGACATGCACACAATAGGGGACAAAAGATTGTAAACATCTCCACAGGGCAATTTCTATAGATGAATACGTCTTCACAAGGTTTTTACAAAATAGATGTATAGATTTTACACAAAAACTAGGAATTTCCAAGGTGGGTTGAGCTGTCGCAAATGAAAGAGTTTTAGAAAAGGGATATTAAGTCCGAATTTCAGCCAAGGAAATTAATTCTGGTTAAAATAAGAGCATTTTGAAACTTCACTTTCAAACTCAAAAACTTTACTACACGAGAACAAAGAAATGTCTCCACAAGGATTATGGATACAAATATCAGTATGTGTGAGTCCAATAACATCAAGTTGAGATTTTCTTTCTCTTATAGCAACAGCAGCCGATTTCAAGAAACTTTACTCAATGGCGTAACAATCCTCTTGCACCTCAATTTACTGCGTAAGTTGCGCAACATTTTACATTATGCAGCATTTCAGTTATGACACATTTTACGAAAGTTTCATGATGCGTAAAATCAGAAACTTGCGCAGTAAATTATTACGTAACTTGTGCAATAAAGTCTACTCTTATGTAAACTTGCGCAATCATTTCAGAAATTTGCCATTTGTTCTACCTTTTCCCATTGGTTTTGTTCTCAAACGCCTTTGAAACCTATTTTCATACCGTTTAATTAGTTTAGTATTCATTAACTATAATACGTCAGGGGGATTTAAATGCAATTTTCTCACAATTAGTTTTCCAACTTCAATTTAATTTCTTTCACCCAGCACACCGTAGTCAACCATGCATGTAGTCACTCACTATTCCCCGATGAGACCAACATTTTCTCTACTTAGGCATGAACTTTGCACTAGTCCCTCAGAAGAGATCATCCAGCGCACCGAGCCCACCTCTATCTGCCATCTTGACAACTCCACTGCCAAAGAGATCTGCCTGCATCCCTCCGGAAACACAAACCAGCTATTAAAGCTCAACATCTCCAAACAAGACTGGCCAGCCATCATATCACTTCGTCGAGATCATTCCATCCACATCCTCAAAGCTGACTATGTGGATGCCACGGTCGTCGTGGACAAGACTGAGTATGATGGCAAGGTGGAGGACATCCTGGACTCGGGTTCCTAATGTGTACTTCGCAAGTAGCCTGCACCGTGTCTTGAGAAGAGGCTCAAAAGCAAGCTCCTCTTCCTCCAGCGGTCCGGCAGCATCTCTCCAGTCCTTGTACCGGCAACTCCAGCAATCCAGCTCCAAATGCCCAAGTTCTTTGGACAGCCCAAGATCCACAAGCAAGGTGTTCCTCTGCGCCCAATCATGGTCTCCAGGGGAGGCCCGACTTCCAACACAGCAAGACATCTCGCTACGATCCTCCACCCTTTGGTAGGCAACACAGAACACGGCATCAAGAGCTCCCACCAGTTCGCCACTTTCATCCAAGATCTCACCATTCAGCCAGATGACATCATGGTCACCTTTTAAATTGTCTCTCTCTCCATTAATGTTTCTACCTCTCATGCCTGCCACATCGCCACAGACAACTTCAACTAGATCCCACCCTCAAGGATGCACACCGACCTCACACCTGATGACCAGCTTCATGATCTTCGCCTCACCTGCGTCAACTCATCCAGCTTCCATTGGCGTGGTAAATTCTTTGAAAGTCTGCTGGAACCTCCATGGGATGTACACCTATTGTTCTGGCCGACATATTCATGGAAGAGTTTAACTTTAAAAGCAGACCGCCATTGCCACAGCGGACCATCTGGCTTTCATCATCTGGCAGCAAAATGGCAGGAGAAGCTCCTGCTCCTGAAGCTCCTGCTCCACTGAGAACACTGCAACAGGCTTCACAGAAACATCCCATGCACCAAAAGTAGGATGGCGCTCTCACCTGCAACATCTATCAGAAATCAGTGCCCACTGACAGAAACACTGTACCTCCCCAGCAATTCCTTTAATCTTGCCAAGATCAAGGCTTCTGTTAACTGGGCTTGTCCACAGGGCGTACATGTACGACATCTGCGACGAGGAACACCTTCCCTTGGAACTCTGATCACATAACCACAGCACTACACACAACGGATACAAGCCCAGCCAATTCAGAACTCAAGATCCCAGAATTACCCCCGGCCAGAGGATCTCTTATATCCAAGGTCAACAAGTTAGGGCAACTAGTTCCATTAGCCTCCCCTACTTGGGTAGTTCTCCCCCCCCCCCACATTCAACCTATCCCCCACAAGCATGGCATCCGAGTTTTCCACACAGCACTCCTGAAGATCCAGAACCTGCTGCAATCGCATATAAGGACCGGCAAGATCCCAAGTGCAGACCATTAATGAACAGAATCCCCTGCCAATGTGGCAAAGTGTACATCAGTGAGACTGGAAGGGACCTCCCTACCAGTCAAGTCAGAACTCAAGATCTGACTTGATTTGACAAGTCCTCCGTAGTCAAGCACTCCCACACCGAAGATCATCAGATCAACTGGCAGCAGGCTGAACTCATCACCAGCATTGAGCACTGGTTGCCCTGTCGCATCAGAGAGGCCATCGAAATCTTCAAGCATGATACGGTACCCCAAGACATTGGTTTCTCCATTAGCGACAACTGGTGCACCATCCTCACCTCCCAGTCCAATGGGTCTTCTATACCCAAGGACAACTTACATGTAGTTCCCCCACCCTAGTCAGCCTATGGGTCCCCTATACCCTTGGCAACTTTCTCCTTTACTCCCTTCCTCCACGCTGAGATGCCTCATTGCTCAAACCGGCAAACAGCTCTTCGTTGATGGTCAAATAATGGAATATGCAGTATACTTGGGAAAGCCCTTAGCACCTACATACTTTATACTCATTTTATGATGACATGTCCGATTTCACCATTTGTTGTGTACTGGTACAACTTTAGGAAAAATACAGGTACAGTAACTACAGTTTGAATAACTAGACTCAATTTTGTTATTGCTAACCCATGAAATTATGACATTTTATTTTCAGAATGTTGGAAAGTGAATGTCCTATCAATTACTGCTTGTATCAACACGGACCATAGCGATGGGATCAGCGTTACATTTGCGGGAAAACTTTTACCACTCTGAATTCCCGCATTGGAGTGAAGTGGGGGAAAGTCTGAAAGGTATGTAGAAATATATAATGCATCTATAAACTTAGAGCGGTTTACATAGGGTAAAAAGGGGGGGGGGGGGGTGTTCAACCAGACAAGGAAATCTGGCACTGCCAAGTGTTGATGAGAGAGTACAGACCTTAACCACAGGGCCCAAAAAAACCACAGTTCTGCAGTTTCCCTACCTACCCTAAATGAGAAAAAACACCCAAAACCATCAATTTCGACCTTTTACCCTTGATTTCACGCAGACGCCTCCATATGATCGTACACAAAAAAAATTCTGGCCGAAAAAAAAATTCCCTACCTACCCTACCCTATTTTCGAAAGCTATGTAATTTGGAAGCAGAAATATTTTTTTTGGGGGGGGGCCTAATCACTCATAATATGGCCATGTACTTACTATGTTTGCAGCATAGCATCAACCCTAGTCAGACCCAAGAGTTTTGCTTAGTACATGTAGATGTAGTAATGATTCTGTCTTCGATTGCATAGGCCCCCACTTACTGTTATAAAACAGACGGTAAAGGGAGAGAATTTGACCAGAGAAGGAAAGCATTATTTTTATGGAATATCTATTAAAAAAAGCCAACATTTTGACAGAGTTTGGGGGGGGGGGGGTTGACCCCCCGCGCATGAACAGGTGATCAAATTTAACACGAACATAAGTGTGGATGGAAAGGTTTGGGTAAGAGGTAGAGTATAATGTAAATCATTCGCAGCTATCCCAAAAGAAACTGACCAAATTATTGTGAAAAAGTTTACTTGGTTTGAAGATAGTAATGGCACTAAACTCCTTGTGAAATTATTCCTTCTGGCATACTGCCACTTTGAAGAAAACAGTAAAAGAAGGTTATTGACATGTATTTCTGAAAATTCCATTATAGTTGGTTTGTAATTGTGCAGGCGATTCCCTTATGGGTGCGCGCAAGCGTTGGCACGATGCACACATGTGGCCAGTTGCTTTTATTTGTCAGTTTAGTGTGTGACATCGCGCAGCTGCATTCTGCAAGCGTCCCGGATGCTGATTTCCAGCGCAATTCAAAACATGACTCCGCAACTTCTTAATTGAAATCAAGATCCTAGAATATTGTTTTCTCGGAGTATACATGTACAGTATTTACTGAGCTAAAAGTTCTTCAGGATATTTGTTATTAAGCAACCTTCTTTAGATTTTGAGCACTTTTGTTGCTTAAAAAAATTCACAAATGACAAATACTCTACTGCTCTACTGTACATGTGCCTTTAACCCTTACAGTCCTGCATCCTGCATCCTGCAATTTTTCACACGCCCTAGGGGGTAAGGGTGAATGATTCATAGGTGTATATGGGTCATTCCACCGGGTTGGGGAACAATGTGTGACATATGACCATATTAAGAAAAGCATGAATGCATTGCTAGCAGTTGCTCTACATAATATTTGTTGTTGGGTGTTTCACCACTGCAGAAAGTTTAAATCATTTCAATGTATTTTGCCAAAGATATGAACAAAAAATGTCATTTCGAACGTAGCATTGACACCGTGTCAATGTTACGTCCAAATATGACATTTTTACCTCTTTTAAAATTTTGGAAACATTACCCAAATTCACTATACGTACTTCTTACTATACATGCAACACAATAAGAAAAGCTTTTGTTATGGTAGTCAAATACAGCAGAAATGATAGCTTGGTTGGTCGTAACATTGTCACGATGTCAATCCCAAATTTCACACTTCCATTAAGTGATTTTTACACTGTTACATCCACACTTGAGGTATTGTTTCTGCTATAATTGAACCCTGACTTAACCAAAACAAAAGCTTTTCTTGGTGCATTAGGTGTCCAGTTATAAATATGCTATGGGGTACATGTATGTCAGTTTGGGTAATGTTTTACATACGTTTAAAAAAATGGCAAAACAGGAATAGTTGGATGTAATCCAAATTTATACATTTTTGCTCATATTTAAAAGTACATTCAAATGATTTCAAACTTTCTAAAGTACAGAAGCAATTGTTTAGAATGCATTGATACTTTTAATATTATAATCAATATGGATGTAATATGCACTGCTTCCCAACCTGGTGGAATGATCCATATGTACGTACCTGTATGAAGTGCATGTATGAGATGTTTTGCTTGGTCAAAGGATTTCAACTGAATATTGTCAAATGCCTGGAAAATCCACATCTGTGACATCACTTTTTTGTGTGTGTTTGTGTTTTGCAGGCCTTCCTAAGACTGATATTGGCCCATACATGTACGGTGATCATATAATTCCTTTGCGTGTTCGAATTAATCAGAAGAGAAACATACAGAGAGGAGCTACCGGTATCAGAAAAGTGATTGTTGTTTGCGGTTCTGTGGGACATCAATCACGAAGAGTCAAATTACGTCTCTGCTCTGAAAGGATTAGAGAGACCACGCCTGGTGCTCACCCAAAGGGGCAACACTTTGAAGAACCTGCTGTGAAACATCAGTCGGAAACATACAGAGATCTTTTGAGTGCAAGGACTCTAAAGAAAACGTCTGTTACTCAGGATAGAGAATCAAAATTTAGTGATCTGTGTGTAGGGGACCATATTTGCTTTCAAGCCAGAGCAGGTTGGGTGCATGCTGGTGCAGGGATTTGGAACAAAACGCCCCCTAGAGAAAGTAATAGGGGCGCTAATTTCTCTGTCTCAGGCGTTTATGGACATTGCATTGTGATTGGCAACACTTTTTGTGCACCTCCTTGCATTGTCGACAGTTTTGAACATTCATCAAAGAAATTAACACCCTCCAAATTTTGGGGGCGGAGAGTAATACATGTTTATGACAAACTCCTGGGTTATAGCATTCTTGAAGTGACATCTCAGCCGTCATCAAGTGACATTCCTGACATTCACAGTGACATTCACAGCCTCTCACCGTTAGGAAAAAACAACCTGAGCAACATTAATCCAGACTTGAACTTTCCAAAAGTTGCCTTTCTTATTTAGCCCAAAATCATATCTCTTTTTTTTTTCTTCACATCTTCCATTTGATCAATTACTTTAAGTATAACGTAAAGCAGTTTTGTAAACAGCCAGCGCCTTACAAATATTTGTTCTGCGCTATATGGTGTACCTGCAACATTTTTCGAAACTTCATTAAGTTTTGAAATAAGACTTGATTTAGATAAACATTGCAATCACACTTTAAGTTATAACATACAGACGCTTTGTAAACAGCCAGCGTCAAAAAAATATTAGTTCTGTTCTATTTGGTGTATCTTCAAAAAATTTTGAAACTTCATAAAGTTTTGAAAACGGTCAGTAAAGAAGAAAAAATGATGCAGTTTGATGAAACTGACCAATCTCGACTTGGCCAACCAAAGCAACTGTTGCTACAACTTAACGGCCTCACGTCGAGCTCCATATCTGCTGAAGATATCAAGTTATCAGTCGACAAACTTACTGAGCTGTCGAATATGGACAACAATGGGGCCGGCAAGAAGGACCACATACCGAGACCCAACCAAGTTCGCGTTGATGGTGCCGGAAATGTCAGCATCATTGGATCCAACAACATAGTGACAGTGTTCGATGGGAAACCAGTGAAGAACGAAACCCCTTCCCTTGCTTCCCTGAACATGGAGCAAGAGATGAACCGGCTAGCGACTTTCAAGAATTGGCCGCACAGCGCGCCGGTCACAGCTAATGCTCTCGCTAGAGCTGGGTTTTTCTTTTTGGGCATTGGCGATCAGGTTCAGTGTTTTGCCTGCTTAGGAATCATCAAAGACTGGGAATTTGGTGACCATGCAATGGGAGAACACAAAAAGCATTTCCCGAGATGCCCCTTTGTCCGGGATCCGACTTACAAGAATGTTCCGCTTGTCGCCGAACAAGCCAAATCGGGAGCTGCCGGTGGCGCTCCGGCAGAGAAACGGGCCAAAGAGAAAGCTGCGGAGCTCTACAAAGCCCCGAATAATGCCAAGAAATCTCAAAGTGGGAAGAAAGGGTCCGGGAAACCAGTGAAGGGTGGCGGATTTAATGAGAGCCTGAAGTCCTGTGAGGGAAATCCAACTCGGCAACCCACCATCGATTCGGCCGAGACTGAAGTGCGACTGACCTTCCGGAGTGAGTACAAGCGGCTCTTGTCGTACCACAGCTGGCCCCGGAACCACCCCATGGATCCCCGCGACCTGGCAAAAGCCGGCTTCTACTTCCTGGAAAAAGACGACATCGTGCAGTGCTTCGCCTGCTTCGGCAAAATCCGGGACTGGGAACCTCAGGACATCCCTCGGCAGGAGCACACACGGCACTTCCCAAGCTGCCCCTTTGTCAAGGGTCTTGATGTCAAAAACGAGCCAATCACAGATCTGCAGATGGCCAACGCAGTCAGTATAGCCTACCGGGAGCCATCAGGATACGAAAACACACTGCAACAATTCTCAAAGCAGTTGGAAGCGGCTCTGCCCCAAACAGCCAAAGTGACAAGTCAGTGGGAGCAAGTGGCATCACCGAATCGCGTCCTGAACAGGCCCAAGTACCCAGACTATGCTGGGGAGAATGCAAGAGTGGCCACCTATGCCAACGGCTGGCCAGGAATCCTGGGGATCACGCCGCAACAGCTAGCACGAGCTGGATTCTTTTACACAGGTGAGAAACAGAATAAACGTAGATTTAGATAACTTCAATATTTAGGCCAGTTAGTCAGAGGTACCCCATGCCCTAAATCGTGCGTGGAGTGCTGTGGCCCCGTGGTTAAGGGCATTGGATTCGCGGTCTGCGGGTAAAACTGCAGGTTGTGGGTTCGAGTCCAGCCTGGGGTCGTGGTGCGTGTGCCCTTCGGAGACTGTGGCACGTATGTTTGTACATGACAAGCGACTGCTGTACCCTTATTCGCAAAGAGACGTGAACATTTATTTCGCACTGTAAGTCATTGTAAATACTTATCACAAAGTTTTGCTCTTATTTTTGACACTCGAGTCTTATTAAGTCAAGTTGAGTCTTCTGATTAGGGACTCCAGTCAAGTCATTTGCTTGCAGTGACTCAAGTCGCGTCAAGTCATTTACCCATAGGGACTCGAGTCGAGTCAAGCCACCAAAAATTGTGACTTGAGTCGGACTCGAGTCGAGTCATTGACTCTAGTCATTCCACTCTGGCTAAACTTTCCTCGTTCTTTGACGCAGGTGAGGGAGACAGCACCAAGTGTTTCTATTGCGGTGGGGGGCTCAAACACTGGGAGTCCACCGATGAGCCCTGGACAGAGCACGCGAAGTGGTTCTCAGTCTGTGAGTGGCTGCTCCAACAGCGAGGAAGGACGTTTGTGAGCTACGTCGTCCGAAACTTCCCTGTTGACACATCACAGTTGAGACAAGCAAGAAATGTAAGTACTTGTATTCAAATTTGAATAAAATGGAAGGTTCTTTATACAGTGGAGCGCTGTGTGCCAACAGGGCCTTGCATGGTACATCAGTTTCAACCCAATAGAAATTTCAGTGTTACAGCTATTTCAGTACCAAAAGTTGCCAGAGTTTTGGATATTTTGCTGTCATAAATTTTCTATTCTTCGGTGATCTGTTGTTTCAGTACATGACAGAAAGCCAATGAGCTATGGTAACTTTTCTCACAATTGTTTTCAGTGAACAAATTATGGGGTTCACGATTTGAACAGAACACACCTTAACTGAACAGTGTCTTCCTAAAAAGACAACACACTTCTGTTTATGAATATGGAAATTTGCATTAGCATAAAAATCGAAACTGCAAGAAAACGTTGAGAACGGAAAAATGAAAATGGAAAACGAAGTGAAATGGGACGCAAAGGTGCGTTTTCAAGGATTGTAACAACAAGTTATTCCATGACAGACCCAATCAGCAGCCCCGACATCAGCTCCAGCGCCCGCACCAACTCCAGCCAAGGCAGCCAAGGTAGCCACCTCCCCACGCCCTACAGCCTCCGCCTCCCAAGAACCTCCTGAAGACGAGGCCGGTGTGATCTACAAGAAATTTGCCAAGGATGACCCACTGGGTAAGATGCGAAGCGTTGGCTCAGGGTAATCGCAAAGTTGTAGTCTATCTCAAAGTCCAAGAAGAAAACGCAGGACCGATCGATCACAATAAATCACAAGCAGTTAAAAAGCAGTCACAAGTCAGTTGCAACCCAGTCACAATCAGTCACAGGTCATTCACAATTAATCACAACTCATCACAAGGCAGTCACAAGACAAATCACAAGGCAGTCACAAGGCAAATTACAAGGCAATCATAAGGCAAATTACAAGGCAATCACAAGCCAGTCGCAACCAATTACATGTCATTCACATTTAATCACAACTCATCAAAAGGCAAATTAAAAGTCTTCACAAGGCAAATCACAAGACAATCACAAGACAATCACAAGTCAGTCGCAACCCAGTCACCGGTCATTCACAGTCAATCACAACTCATCACAAGTCAGTCACAAGGCAAATCACAAGCCAGTTGCAACCAATCACAGATCATTCACAATTAATCACAACTCATCACAAGTTATTCACAAGGCAATCGCAAGGATAATCATAAGTCAAATCAAACGTTAATCACAGGAGAAATGTGAGAAATGGTAAATCAACAAGTTAAATCAAAATCTGGTTCACAACCAATCACAAGGCAAATCACAAGTAAGATCACAAGTCAATCAGAAGTCAAATCACAAGTCCATCTTAAATCCATCACAAGATGATCAGAAAGAACGTAAACATTATTTAAGGTCACTAGTAACAGGCAAAGAACAATGAATAAACCCAGAAGTGGTTGAAATCATTCACAAATCTGTTTTTATTCTCACACCAATATTCCAAGTTTAGTTTTTTTTTTGTCTTGCGTTCAAACAGACGAAGCAATGAATAGTCGGTTGACCAAACGTGTCTTGGAAATGGGCTACGACGCCAACTTGGTCAAGCAAGTCGTCCGCCGGCAACTCCGGACAGCAGGGAAGGCGTTCGAAAACACCAACGATCTTTTGGAAGCCGTTTGGCAGGCCGAGGAATTACGAGAAGCTGGAAAATGGGAAGAAGACGTTGAAGAAGAAGAGGTGGAAGAGTTCAGGGGCGGAGCCAAGGGTGGGGCGGAGAAATTCATTGCACAGGTGCCCGAGAAACGGAGCAAGGATGCTGGGAGAGGAGAGGATGAACTTGGCGTGCTGACACAAAAGCTTGAAGGGATGAGAGTTGGTGAGCATCAGGCCACTGCGACGGTTGGACAGACTAGAGTAGAACCCACAGAATGGCAGCATCAACAAACACGTATGTCTTTGGATTAAACATAACTAAACTCTTTGATCAACTCATGATCTGGTACACGGTACCCTGTGGAGACATGTGCATAATAGGGAACAAAAAGATTGTATATGTCTCCATGGTGCGATTTCTAAAGGTGAATAAGGTTATCACGAAAAAGATATAATGGATTTACTCAAAACTTAGGAATTTCCAAAGTGTGTTGATCGCAAATTGAAGTATTTCATGTAATGGATATAAAATCTGAATTTCAGCCTAGGAAATTAACTCCGGTTAAAATAGGAGCATTTTGGAACTACATTTTCACATTCTGCATAGGTACTCGAGAACACCCACACACACACAAGCTAAACAAACACAAGTGTGTATTTACCTGCAATCGGGGACCCCCTATTTTCCCTCTTTTGTTTGTGCTTCAACTTTTTAGGAAGACCTCCCATATGATTTTTACACATTGTGAAATTGGGGACTTTCGGGAATTTGGCACCCTATTGTCCTCTATTGTTCAACGTCCCCTATTGAATGCAGAAACAAACACACACACACACGCCCACTGCGCTTTCTAGTATGGCCATGATATCTAGTACACCTTCTTTGCAGTTTTCACAATTTTTATTCGTTCCCTCTTTATTTTGACTTTTCAGCCGAAGAGATTGAGCGTGAGATTGAGCGACTTCGCGACGAGAAACTGTGCAAAGTTTGCATGGACAACGACGCCAACACGGTTCTCATGCCGTGCACGCACCTCGTAGTGTGCGATATGTGCGCCAACTCACTACGCTATTGCCCAATATGCCGACAGACCATTACAAACGTTGTCAAAGTCTTTAAGTCGTAACTGATGGATATGATGAAAAAATAGTAGGAGCTTGTCAAGGTCTTCAAAGTTTTGCTTGAGTCTGTAACCACTGCCAAATGATTTCCAGGATGTCATTTCTTTAAATTGTATGCTGGCAATATGATCAAGTGGCTCAAGTGGCTCAAGTGTCTTAAGTGGTTCAAGTGGCCCAAGTGGTTCAAGTGGTTCAAGTGGCTCAAGTGGCTCAAGTGGCTCAAGTGGCTCAAGTGTCTCAAGTGTCTTAAGTGGTTCAAGTGGCTCAAGTGGCTCAAGTGGCCCAAGTGGTTCAAGTGTCTTAAGTGGTTCAAGTGGCTCAAGTGGCCCAAGTGGCTCAAATGGCTCAAGTGGCTCAAATGGCTCAAGTGGCCCAAGTGGCTCAAATGGCCCAAGTGGCCCAAGTGGTTCAAGTGGTTCAAGTGGCTCAAGTGGCTCAAGTGGCTCAAGTGGTTCAAGTGGCTCAAGTGGCCCAAGTGGTTCAAGTGGTTCAAGTGGCTCAAGTGGCTCAAGTGGCTCAAGTGGCTCAAATGGTTCAAGTGGCTCAAGTGGCTTTAGTGGTTCAAGTGGTTCAAGTGGCTCAAGTGGCTCAAGTGGCTCAAGTGGCTCAAGTGTCTCAAGTGTCTTAAGTGGTTCAAGTGGCTCAAGTGGCTCAAGTGGCCCAAGTGGTTCAAGTGTCTTAAGTGGTTCAAGTGGCTCAAGTGGCCCAAGTGGCTCAAATGGCTCAAGTGGCTCAAGTGGCCCAAGTGGCTCAAATGGCCCAAGTGGCCCAAGTGGTTCAAGTGGCTCAAGTGGCTCAAGTGGCTCAAGTGGTTCAAGTGGCTCAAGTGGCCCAAGTGGCTCAAGTGGCTCAAGTGGCTCAAGTGCCTCAAGTGTCTTAAGTGGTTCAAGTGGCTCAAGTGGCTCAAGTGGCCCAAGTGGTTCAAGTGTCTTAAGTGGTTCAAGTGGCTCAAGTGGCCCAAGTGGCTCAAATGGCTCAAGTGGCTCAAATGGCTCAAGTGGCCCAAGTGGCTCAAATGGCCCAAGTGGCCCAAGTGGTTCAAGTGGCTCAAGTGGCTCAAGTGGCTCAAGTGGCTCAAGTGGTTCAAGTGGCTCAAGTGGCCCAAGTGGTTCAAGTGGTTCAAGTGGTTCAAGTGGCTCAAGTGGCCCAAGTGGTCCAAGTGGTTCAAGTGGCTCAAGTGGTTCAAGTGGCTCAAGTGGCTTTAGTGTCTTAAGTGGTTCAAGTGGCTCAAATGGCTCAAATGGCTCAAGTGGCTCAAGTGGCTCAAGTGGCTCAAATGGCTCAAGTGGCCCAAGTGGTTCAAGTGGCTCAAATGGCCCAAGTGGCCCAAGTGGTTCAAGTGGCCCAAGTGGTTCAAGTGGCTCAAGTGGCTCAAGTGGCTCAAGTGGTTCAAGTGGCTCAAGTGGTTCAAGTGGCTCAAGTGGCCCAAGTGGTTCAAGTGGCCCAAGTGGCTCAAGTGGCTCAAGTGGTTCAAGTGGCTCAAGTGGTTCAAGTGGCTCAAGTGGCCCAAGTGGCTCAAGTGGCTCAAGTGGCTCAAGTGGCTCAAATGGCTCAAGTGGCTCAAATGGCTCAAGTGGCCCAAGTGGTTCAAGTGGCTCAAGTGGCTCAAATGGCTCAAGTGGCTCAAGTGGCTCAAGTGGCTCAAGTGGTGGAGACTTACACCGTAACTAGTGACAATTAGACAATAAAACAGAGACAGGAGACTTCTTTGACTTCTTTAGTCCCACTCAGCGAAGAAGTGAGGTTTATTCCTTCTCACTCTGCCTTTTATAGGCCAACATGATCCAATTACATTTGCTAACAATAAATGCACATCATTGCTAAAGTATACAAAGGGTGGTAACCATCAAAATGCAGTATTGCTCAGTAGCTGACTTAAGCCACGCCCACTAATTGTATGGGCCTATTGGGGACTACTGCTCTAGTATGAGTGACTTATTAGCAATAAGGAATGTAAATACAGTTCACGTGTGTACAAAACGTATTATAGTTGATGATTTATCACAATATCAACCAAAACCTGCTCAGCAAGATCAAGATCAACACAAATGATAATGTGGAAGCAAGGGCCTTTTACATGTTTTAGAAAGAAAATAAGACTCAATATGAAATATCAACATTAACATTTATCCTTAATTACAGTGTACATATATTGAAGTTTACTAATTGTTTTATCTATATCGTAATTAAACGTACTTTAGTGAAGGATAGTTTAAAGTAGTGGTAGATAAATGAAGTTTTTTTTAGGGTCTGAAAGACTTTTCTTTAAATTCCTGTAGAGAAAGATGTTTGATTATTGGCTTTTCAGCAAAATCTGTTGTTTCATGTTTCAGTTTTTCATTTATTAAATTAAATAAATTAATGAACCTTCCTTAAAAAAAAAAAACGACTTTGCGGAAAGGAAATTGCATTTTTCACTGTGAACATTCAACAATTCTAGTTTTGACCTTTTTCGCGGCTTATATAAGGAGCAAATTTTCATTTCATTATTATTTGCTTTACACTTGTTCATATACAATAGAGTAACAATTTATAAACTTGCATGTGATATAGAAAACATTTCAAAAGACAAACTGAAGTTTTTTATAAACTTTGTAAATACTTATTAACTTATACAGTGAAATCTTGATCAGTCAAACCTCAAGAGAACAGGGCCCAATTTCAGGGCGCTGCTAAGCACATGATTTTCTGCTAACAGAGCCTCCATCTATTTCATGGAAACTGTAAGCATAAGCACAGCAGAAGGTGTGCTTACTTCGGAGGAAAAATTTGCTTAAATTAGTGATTAACAATAGAAATCTCTATGCACGCGACCGATAGCACACACACGCTGTGAAATAGTGCTTAAGGTTAGCAAATTTTTTCTGCTATGCTTACCTTAAGCAGCGCAGTGAAATTGGGCCCAGGTTCAAAAATTGACTTCAGCAGAGTTTTGAGTTAAGCAGGGTTTTATATCACTGTTATACCACTGAAGGCAATGGATTCTTTGTTTGACTTAACAGTTGTTTTGAGTTATCAGAGTTTGTGTTATCGAGATTTCACTGTACCTGTACATGTGTGTACGTGTACACACTTAACTTGTATTTTAAATGCACCAGAAAATCTCTAGGGAGTATTAAATTACTCTCTTTTTCTAAAAGTAAGAATAAGATTTGGCCTGAGTAAGGCCCAGTTAGTTAATTTAATGGAGTAAGGCTGGCCCGAGTCACAGAGCTATATTAAATTACTAGAGCGCTGACTCATGTACAAAGTGATGCCTGCTGGGCGCATCCATGTTTGTGCACAAACCTATGGAAAACTCAAAATTGAGTATGGCTTTTGTACGGCTATTTGCATATCTGCGTTTGTATTCTATAAAAGGTGCGTTATCGAAGCTGATAGGCCCAAAACTAAAGGCACGATCAGCAAATGAGCGTTTCATTTCTGCTCAACGAAAACCGCTGCGGATGATTACCATGACTTGTTTTTAAACCGTCATGACGCACTTACATGTATGTTGTTCGCGTACGTTCTACTTGCCCGTTGCATTTAGAGTACACTTTCAAAATTCAATCCATCTAATTTCATTATGTTCTACAGAAACGCTCATTAATTCAAAATGTCTGCGCCTAGGATGGCTTCAGAGTGTCTCTGCGCTCTAGTAGTTTAGTATATGTAGCTCTGTGGTCCGAATATACCAAATATTGAGAGAGAGAAAAAAAAAGCAAAAAAAACATGTTAAAAAACCCCCCAAAAAACAAACTAGAGCTATGCCTGTTCGATGAACAGGACATAAGCTTTTCCGTTTTTTTTAAAGATATTCAAGTAAAAGAATTACTTTTACAAATTTATTTTGTCTATTTTTGCATGAGAAGAACATGTAAAAAGTTCTTAAAATTATACAACATTAGGTTATGAAGTCATCATGACGAAACAACAGGTTTTCAATACTTATTTTAATTACTACCTTCCCACCAAGTTTCAAGACGATCAGACTGTATGAGCCTTATATGTGATTTTAAAAAAATGCATTTTTAATGACCTCATCATGACGTCACACACTTATACATTTTTGTGTACATGAAGATATGACCTCACATACCTATTACAAAAAGAATTCTGAAAAAAGCTTGTTCTGTTGATGAGATATGGCTTAAGGTAAAAAAAAAAAATCAAAAAAAAAATCTATTTTTGATGACGTCATCATGAAGTCACACACGTATATTTTTTTGTTGAACATAAGTATGACCTTACATACCTATTACAAATTGTTTTTTGAAATTAGGTCTTCTGTTGAGATATGGCTTAAAGGTCCAAAAATTCAATTTTTGATGATGTCATCATGACGTCACCCACTAATATTTTTTGTATGCACATACGTACGACCTTACAAACCTTATACAAAAAGAATTTTTGAATTTAGCATGTTGGGTTCTTGAGATATAATGATAATCTTCAAAACTTCAAAAATCGATATAAAATCACATGATGACGTCATGATGAGGTCAACTCAATTTTTATCTTTAACACATCCCGGTCTACCCACATATCAAGTTTCATCCAAATCGGGCTTACAGTTCTTTAGATATAGAGTCTTAAAGTTTGCACATTTAAGAGGACGTCACATGACCCATGATGACATAATCATGACGTCACTCTTCGGGACACAAACTCACTATGGGGTCTTTACATAGGTTAGGTTTCATTAGCATACGAGTTGGTTTTAGGTCCAAAGTGCCGCGGTCATGTAAAACATGTACGAAGTCTATGGGATTTGGGTTCGAACAAAAAGAAAAAGGAAAAAAAAATCAGAACAAAAACAATGCTTTTCTGCTTTCAAGCGGAAAAGCAAAAAAAACACACAAAAAACAGAACAGAAACAATGCCTTTCAGCTTTCAAGCGGAAAAGCCACAAAAAAAAAAAAAAAAGGAACAGAAACAATACTTTTCAGCTTTCCAGCGGAAAAGCCAAAAAAAACAAAAAAAAAACGGAACAGAAACAATGCTTTTCTGCTTTCAAGTGGAAAAGAAAAAAACAACAACATGCACTGATGTGTTGATTAATGCATGCTCCCCTTCCCTTCCCCTCCCCCTCCCTCTCCCAAGCCTCCCTCTGCCCCCTCCCCCTGTAACTAAGCCATTGATTTGTGTAAGTCGCACATATATATATATGGGCATTACTAAATATTTTTGTTACTTACACAAACATGATTTACTTGTGTAATTTATGTTATCCGTGTGATAGAAAAAAACACAAAATTAATCTGAAATGTATAAAAAACTCAGGAAAGAAACAAATATTTTAATTTTGATTGAATACTCAGAACACAATCGATAAATAATGTATACTTTTTTGCAGTAACATAGAACACACCCAGACATAAAGATTTTATCTACATGCACATTATTTACAGAAAGGATTACAAACGTATCCTGTACAATTAAATAATACACGGAATGATTATGGTTGGCTTGGGGTTGTTTTGGGGATTAATTTTGGTATACATGTCATATTTGGATCACATATGCTAGCATTTGATAACTTTGAATATTTGGAATGTTGGGTTTGCGCCAAAATATTTTAAGTCTGTAGTGAAATGGACGCTTGAATGACGTGTCTATGATATGCCTTCAGATTATGCAAACCTGCGTATTGACCTACAGATTCTGACAAAACAGCAGACGCCTTCTATCGTGTCTTCGTTAACCCAGTGTTCTATGAGAAAAACATGGCAGCTATTGACCAATCAACAGCTTTGGCTGAAATTCTGCTCTAATGATATCCTTGTTTTGGATAAAATTACATATTTGCATATATTAAATATTGATATATATACTTGTAGTCTGGCTTTGCACATGTCTGATCCTCGAACTACCTGAAACATGTATTGGGGAAATTCTAAAATTCTCAAAACCTAGAAAAAAAAGAGGAAATTGGTTTTATGGTTTCATGGACATTTGTTTTGCTTTGTAACAATACTTTCAATATTGAATGATAATTATTAGTATAATGTTTAGTTTATTTAAAGGTATAGTCCATCATTTGTAGTTTGTGCATTTTGTTCGTTTGAAGCAACAAAAATGCTCAAAATCTAAAGAAGGGTACATGAACAACTAACCTGATGAAGTTTCAGCTCAGCTTCAGCTATACATTTTGAGAAAAACAGCATTCTAGGATCTCGATTTCAAATCAAAAGTGGCTGAATCATGTTTTTAATTGGGCCTGAATTCAGCATCCGAGACACGTTCTCACTGAGCCGATTGCAGCTACGCGATGTCACGCACCTATCCGACGAATTATAGCAACTGCACGCGCATGTGCGTCATGTCAACGCCTGCGCGCGCTTCGCCAAATAAAAAAAAGGAACTAGTAACGGAAATTTCCAACGGTGCGTCTTAAGAAGCCAGAGAGAATAAAATCACAGGGAGTTTAGTCCCCTTACTATCTTTCAACCGAGTATGTTTTTCAACAATTATTACGTCATTTACTTTTCGGATAGCTGCAAATGATGGACTATAGCTTTAATCTAAAGAAATTTATATAGAGCATAAAGCTAATTTTGATTTTTACTTTACATGTGCACACCCCTATATTTTTATTTACACAGAACTGGTACATACTGTTTTAATAAGGGAATAAATGTGTGCTCTGGAGGTTTTTATCACTCTGTTTAAGACCACTTAGAGTCTGGGTACTGATAATTACCCGAGCCGGAGGCGAGGGTAATTATCAGCACCCAGACTCTAAGTGGTCTTAAACAGAGTGATAAATACCGACTGAGCACATATTTATTCCCATTCATAAATACCTTTTTGGTAAAAAATATCAAATAATTCGTTCAAAAAATACCGATTTGTTCAACAAGTTCACTTCATGCTTTTTGAAACATCCCTCTAGCAAAATAATGGAGTGTTCAGCTGGCGAGTAAGATGTAAACAGCCCTTTTATGGAGATTGACGCGCGCGTGGCATGTTCTGAGCGATGTCGCGCAGAACGCACCTGGCGCGATGCGTTTTGAATTTAGAACTATAAAATTCTGACTCGCTGGTAGTGTTGCGCATGCCTACGTGAGGATTGTGAACGTTCAACCAATGAAACGGTCAGAGGCACTGGATTTTTAGGGGTCTACATTTTATTGCGACACTGGAAAAGTGTTTAAGACCAGCTAGCCATGTCTTTATCATCCGTTTAAGACCGGCCACGTGACGGGCTCTCGACCAATAGGAATGGCTAAACTGTCTGAGGTATTTATGAATCGACAATGAAATACATGTAATGGCTTCTGTGATATTGCAGTTCATCTTGCTTAACAAGTATGGCAGACTTACAACAAATAGTGCAATGTGTAATGGTAGCCGTGTGCGTTTTAAAAATAGGCAGTGCCAAACATTTGAAAGTGTTCATAGATGCTATGTACATTGCATGTTGACTTTATTATACATGTATTTAGGTTGTGTCTGAATACACACGCCAACTACATGTATGGTAGCCAACTAATTTGACACGAGTAAGATTTGAGGCTTTGCATGGTGGAGATGAAAGGTTTGCGGAAACACCATGTGCGAATACTTTCTCAACTAAGAGAATGGTTCTGAAAAGAACTAGAGGTATAAACACGACCACCCGGTCAGTGTGCTCTGACAGTCTTCAGGACTCTCCTGCAGACGGTCAGAGCATACTGACTGGAACGTCAAGTTTATACCTCTGGTTCTTTTCAGAACAATTCTCTTAGTTGAGAAAGTATTCGCACATGGTGTTTCCGCAAACCTTTCATTATTTAATTTGACACAGCCTAATACATGTACATGTACTTCATTTTCTATTGAGCATCGACTAAAACATGGGGCCGTTGGGCTATAGAAAAACTTGAAAAGAATGTTTTCACATACCTAGTAAAGTAATTCATGCCATTTCAACTTAGAACAGGTTTCGATAAACAGGAGATTGAAGTGATTTTTGTGGCAACAAATTTGGCATGATCAATGAGTGTTAAACTATTTCAAATTTGTAGGGCTTGACGTTGTAGCTGTAGCTTTTAAAGACAATCAGTAAAACTGTTTAGAAATATTCAAAAAAAAAGTAAAATGCAGAATGTGTTTTGTGTTTCGTTCATTAGAAATGTGTTGCAGAATGCGTGTACACAGTTTATTTCATTTCAAAGTCATGAAAAGGGTACTACCAGAATTAACAGCTCATTAAGTAAACACAAATATGGAGTCACATTCTTTAGCGGACAAGGACCTTTATTTTATATTAGCATCATGACAATACATTGTATACAGCAAGGGTAATGTTAGATCCAGAAATTCACACTAAATTAACTGGTACACTACAATTATCCATGATTTCATGGCATGCCCAGATAAAAAAAACCATGAACATTAAAAAAAATGTAGAACAAAATACATGTACGCCATTTTTATTTTCAACACAAAATAGGCCAATTTTATTACCCCAAAATTTCACAAAGGAAAAAGAAAGGAAAACTGTGAGCATTTTGCCAGCCAAATTACTAAGGTCTGACTTATAATTTTGAAATGTAGTTATTTTGACAACAAATTGTCTTTTATAGTTTGTAAGCCTCCAACAAATCTCAAAATGGCTGTAGCAACTGGCAAGTCATTAAACCCTTACCACCCCAACTCCATCAAAATCCATCCCCAATTTTGGTTGATTTTGGGGGACTTGGTCCAGAAGGCCTGGCGTGACTAAATATTGATGGAGTATGATAGACTTGGGCCTAATGGCCTGATGCAGTGCTAGGGGTATCTGATTGATTTTGCCTAGCTTCCTGTACTGCTATTGTGATGAAAGCCATGTGTAGCGAGTCCATGAATGTCAACCAGTGCGTCAGTGGTGGATTCCATTATGTCATGTACAGTTTTGTATTAGACGCACACTGATTGATGGATTTCGATGGAATTGGTCCAGTTTCTAGTACAAGACGCTAGGGAGTTAGGTTAACGAGGAAAATTCAATCTTTTAAACAGCACAGTGGGTTTTTCTTTCAGTTTTGAATGGCACATTTAAAAAAACACAAGCTCAGAAAATCGTCTGTGCTTACAGGTGTGCGTAGAGGTGCTCAGTCCACAACCCAAAAGAAGACCATCGATTTCAGTCCAATTTCTCTCCCAGGGCAGCGAGCCTCTCTAGGAGGGGAGGGTGAGAGTAGTGCCAGGTGGAGTACAGCCAATCGGCCAATGGGAAGCCGAGATTGTCCTTGTGGAGTTTGATCAGCGCCGACCGCAGCTCCGTGGCGCGGCGCAGCGACTTGGCGAAAGCGTCGGCCTGGAACTCTGACCGACGACACAGCACCGTCATGCAGAAGGAAATTAAGTACTTGTGGAAAAAAAGGTCATAATTCTTTGAATTCTTAGCGGAAATTACAAGCCAAGCCTTATAAATTATTTTGGCTGGAAATGGCATAAATCATGTTGGAAAGGGGAACAAAATAATGGAGGATTTGTTTTCAAAAACTCTGGATGCACCTCGTTGTAGGGCGAGAACACTAACTGAAAGATGATGACGAGGCCTATGAGAGTGGGTTGGACATCATAGAAACCAAACGCCTCAAACAGTTCCTTTCTCTCGATCAGGAGGCCGAAGAGAAACAGGCACAGGAACAAGTTCACCTGGAATGACATAGGAAAAGGTATCAGCAAGAGCAGAATGTGCTTCACCATGCACAAAATATCAGCCACAGCGGGGCAGCTGGCAGAAGCGGGCAGCGGGGCAGTTGCCTGCAGAGGCATGCAGCAGGGGAGCATCTGGCCAGGGGCAGTAGCAGGCATTGGGGCAGTAGCTCATAAGCGGGGCAGCAGCCAGCAGTAAGGCAGAAGCCAGCAACAGGGAAGCAACCAGCAGTGGGGCAGCAGAGAGGCAGCTGGCAATGGGGCAGCAGGGAAGCAGCCGGCAAAGAGGCAGCAGCTGGCAGCAGGGCAGTTGCCTGCAGAGGCATATGCAGCGGGAGAGCATCTGGCCAGGGGCGGGGCAGTAGCAGGCAGTGAGGCAGTAGCTGAAAGCGGGGCAGCAGCCAGCAGTGCAGCAGAAGCCAGCAACAGCGACCAGCTGGCAGAAGCTGGCAGCGGGGCAGCAGGGAAGCAGTCGGCAATGGGGCAGCAGCTGGAAGCACGGCAGTTGCCCTGTAGAAGCATGCAGTGGGGAAGCATCTGGCCAGGGGAGGGGGCATTAGCAGGCAGTGGGGCAGAAGCAGGCAGTGGGGCGCAGAATTAGCAGGCAGTGGGGCAGTAGCTCACAGTAGGGCAGCAGCCAGCAGTGCAGCAGAAGCCAGCAACTGGGAAGCAGCTGGCAATGGGGGCAGCAGGGAAGCAGCTGGCAATGGGGCAGCAGGGAAGCAGCCGGCAATGGTGCAGCAGCTAGCAGCAGGGCAGTTGCCTGCAGAGGCATGCAGCAGGGAGCATCTGAAGGGGAAAGGAAGCAGCCGCCAGTGGGGCTGCCGGAGCAGCCAGTAGTGTGGTTGCATCCAGCAACAGGGAAGCAGCCAGCAGCTAGGGTAGCAACCGGCAGCTGGGCAGCAGTAAGCTTGCAACGGAAGCATCCAGCAATAGGGAAGCAGCCAGCAGTGGGGCAGCAGGGCAGCAGTGAGGCAGCAGACAGCAGCAGGGAAGCATCTGGCAACAGGGAAACACTGCCAGCAGCAGGGCAGCAGGGCAGCAGGGCAGCAGCCAGCAGTATATTACCTGACTGATGACAAGATTTTTGAGGTTGTGGCTCAGTTTCCAGTGACCCAGCTCATGAGCCAGCACGGTAGCACCTCCTGGTCATTGCAACCAGTCTTCTTCTTTTCTCCCTCCTTGAGTCCTTTGCTGGCTCGTCTGCCACGTACACCCTCTTTTGGTCCGGTCTCCTCTCCTTTGTCTGGCTCCGGACTCTCGTCGGAGGATTCTCTTTTCTCCTTGGGTTTATCCTAAAGCAGAATGTAAGAGGAATAATGATGCGTACTTACAAAATGCACATAACCACCAGTATACTCACCCGGTGCATCATTACTCCACCTGCATGTACATGTACATTGGGCAGATGAAATTATGGTTGTCGCTTGGACCGATTGACGACTGTTTCATGTCGCATCCTAGATCCTGTGGGGAGGATGGCTTCTGCATCCTTTTTGTCCATAAGAAGACCTCTGGATTGTCCTTGTGGTGAACTTAAAGCTATAGTCCATGCAGCTATCCGAAAAGTAACTGGCGTAATATTATTGTTGAAAAACATACTTGGTTGAAAGATAGTAAGGGGACTAAACGTACTCCCTGTGAAATAATTCTTTCTGGCAAGCTGTCATTTTGAAGTAATCAACAAAAGAAGGCCTTTCCAACGGTGCTTCTTAAGACGCACCGTAGGAAATTTAAATTAGTAGTTCGTTTTGTTATTCGGCGAAGCGTGCGCAAGCATTTGCACGATGCACACGCATGGGCGGTTGCTGTAGTAATTTGTCGGATCAGTGCGTTTATCGCGTAGCTGCAAACGGCTCATTGAGAACGTGTCTCGGACGCTGAATTCAGGCCCAATAATTATATATACAGCTTGAATAGCTGAGATGAAACTTCATCAGGTTATAGTTGCTCCGAGTACCCTTCTTTAGATTTTGAGCACTTTTGTTGCTTCAAACGAACAAAATGCACAAATTACAAATGATGGACTATATATCTTTAATTCACCAACAAGATCAGCAAGGATCTTTTTCATGCCTGGCATTTTTTTTATTTATTCGTTTCTGATTTTAGTAGCAGGTGTAAGCTAGAGCATGAAGAGCAACTGTTAAAGTTTGCCAATAAAATGACACAAAAGGTGAAGAAAGGTGTTATGACTGCATTTTTAAACTTAATTTTAATAAAATTGGGATATTAAACATGTTAAACTTAAAGTAAAAAAGACAAGAATATTCTTATCTGATGAATTCAATTAATTTAAAGGTCACCCGTTTGTGTTAATATTTATTTTTTATTGAATAAATTTAAGCACTTGAACTAAAATGTTCAAAAGGTGTAAATTTACTTTGCAGTTTTTGCTTAGGAATTCCTTTTATTTATAAAGTAGGACCTTGTTATTTGTTCAGAAAAATAAGAATAAGATTTCCTTCGCGTCTGGCGAGCAGTGCGTCCGCGTGCGGTGAGAGAGGAAAGGACTGGAAACTTGTCCAAAATGATGTCTTATTTTAGCTGCGACAGGAAACAGCAGCGAATCATACGGAACAAGACGGTCATGACGGTATAAGGCGCATGTGTCAGCAGGGGAGAGTCCAACCTCATCTCCACTTCCTGCTTCCTATTCATGCTATTGGAAACGTGAGTCCAGTAAATCACATGAATCAGGATCGGAGGAGGTTGCAGGACATCGAGATCTTGCCAATTCTTGGGCCAGATGTTACCTTGAATTTCGTTCAAATGCAAGATTTGGCGTAAATGCAGATTCAACATGTTCAAGATAAGAATGCTTGATACCAGTAATGTTCAGTTTTTGTCACGGAAGGACGATTTCGCTAGGTTGATGATGGAGAGTCCAGAAAATTTTATAAGTAAGTGTTTCCTAACAAAATTGGAAATGTTTCTCAGTCCCAGAGTCATAAATAATCATCATTTTTGCAATGAATGAAAGGGAAAATACAACATTTGCAAACATCAAAAAATAAAACTACCAAATCTTGCTGGACTGTTAGTGAATGACAGTGTAAAGCATCCTGTAAAATCATGGCACCTGGTATACTGTCATTTTCAAGAAAAGTGGTATTTTTGTATCAATTTCCAATGCTGATCGGCCGATCAGCATTGGAAAAAACTGGGTTTTTTTTCAAATACTGGCCCCAGTTGACCATCGCACTTGTTTGCAATCGATTACACACCTATGGATGGGTACAAGCCAGCTAGACTGGTTCCCTGACCTTACAATTCCCCAATGTATGTAAACTGCTCTGTTTCTTCTTAAATGGAGTCAGGGAACCAGACTACAGGTAAACAATTGTTTTTCTTGGTTTTTACCCAAACCTCAAAAAAGTCAGTGTAACTATATTTGCTATATATTTCCAACTCCCCAATTCCATCCATTGCTGAAAATTACAGCAAAAGCAAATTATGTATATTCCCTTTAAGGCTTCATTGAGATGAAAAAAAAAGTGGCTTCACAATGCATGCCGGTAAAGTGAGACTTGCAGGTCGACATGTTAACTGTCAGTCATGTAGCGCGTGGCCGGCTCGATCACTTACACTTATGATTAAATGGGAATAAGTATTAGGCTTCATAAGCCTTTATGACCCCATATCTCTTCCAGTATTCGTCGAGCTCATGTTTGAAAGAAAAAATTGTAGTCTTGGCATTCACAACATAACTTGGTAGATCGTTGTAGGTCAGTAGGTGTTGACTATTCTCTGGGAGAAAAAATCTGGCCTGCATCTCAGGGCTTTGTTCATACCAGCTAGTCTTAAACATGTTAAAGATGGAAAGAATTCCATACTGTCCACCACTCATGATATGACCTGAGAAGTACCGAAAGTTGTAAATCTGATGAAGAATCACTAGGCCTATTTAAGGAGTGCCAGAATTCTTTGTCCATAGACTTTATGCAGGTCTCTGGAGGTCAGGAGTGGTGGCCCAGTATGGAATTCTCTCCGTAAGGATTTCTGTTGACTATCAATTTTTTGTCTGTTCTGTTGTTCTTATAACTGTAACCATCCAGCAACGACCGTGCTGCAGAGCTTCTGGCCAGAGAGGGCGCTGGGGCCACTGCAGGGGTGTCGGGCTTCATCGGCTTTGGTACGATGTCTGGGGACCTGGGCTACGTACTGGCCGCCCAGTCGCTGAGTTTGGAATCAGACCAGGACTTGTCGCTGGAGGCTGATTTCCGCATGGCACTGAGGAAGCCGACAAAGAGAGTAACTAAACTCGAGGTACCGTACAACTACCAGACAAACATGAATAGCATTTTGTGATTTTTTCTATTTCTTAATTTTTTTTTTTTAATTTGAAACCTATTACTGCCAAGGCATATTTGCTAGGATGCATCCTCAATCCTGCAAAATCCTCTAATTGCCTTCATTTACAACTCCATGCAGCCTTAATCCTAACGTACAAACTCTGTTATTTCTTGAATGTGGTTCTTGGAGGGGTGACCACTGCCTCAATCCTGCAAAATCCTCCAGCAATCACTGTCAATATGTTGAGGCACAGCCAGTGACATTTCAAGTATAATCTATGCCTAAATTTATATAGCTGAGCTTAACACAAGGTCTAGCCCAAGACCTTGACACAGTGCATTGTCCAAAATCATCCACACCTTTTTGCCAAAAAGCCTCAACCATGTCAACACTCAAAAAGTATACATGTACAGTGTTTATACAAATCTGTCTGTGACAAAGATCAGTTTGATAATGGCCAACATAGATCTCATCCTTCATGACTTTAAATCTAATTTGACCAAGATAGAAGGTATTAATTCTACCACCATAGCGAAAAAAATTTCAAACACATTTCAAACACACCCAAACCCCCCAAAAATATATTTAATATTTAAATTATATGTAACAGCAAAAATAAGAATGACTGGAAAGCCAATTTCTTAAGCTACTTTTAGATTAAAAATTACTGAAATTGCTCAATCCGTTCAAAAAAATACCACCATAATCACATTGACCCGTAAACTTATCTCGTCCAAAAAACCCCAATGTGTTGTGTGTTATTGACTGTGGGGAACAAAGAAAATGACACATAATACTGGCAGGCATTCAAAAGGACTTTGTTGCATATTTGTAAACTGAGGGTTTATCGCCGGTGATGTTTGAAGACAATTGTGACCACGATTCTTGAAATCGCATTTTTGGGAGAGACAGATTTAAGGGTCATTGTGTTTAACAGGCATGCAACTTTTCCTCGGATCAGCTGATTTCCTCTTTTTTTACTTCCCATGTGTGCCATTGAAAATAGAAAAACACTGTACAAAGTCTGGGAAAAAATTGAATTTCCTCTTTTTTGGTGATTTCCCAGTTGCATGCCTGGTTTAAATGATGATATTCTTTGAACGGATTGAGCAATTTAAGTATTTGTTATCATCTAAAAGTGATGAAATTGGCTTTTCAGTCATTGGCTTTTCCGCAATTCAGCGAAAAAGCCTTTCTTTTTTTTCTGATTTTTTTGGGGGGCTTTTTCGCAAATTTGCGAAAAAATCCTTTGTTTTTGTTCTGATTTTTTTTCCCCCCTTATTTCTTCTTTTTGTTCAATAAATCCCATAGACACGATATAAGTACATGCCACTTTTGGCATTTATCTTTTTCATACGTCATACAAATTAAGCACATGCATTGTTCTTATGGCAAAGTTGTGTCCCGGAGAGTGACGTCATGATAACGTCATCAGGGGTCACGTGACGTCATCACAAACGTGCATATTTTGAAGTCCTATATCTACAGAACTGTTAGTCTGATTGGGTTGAAACTTGGTATGTGGGTAGACCGGGATGTGTTATAGACACAAAAAAAAATAGGTGATGTCATGATGATGTCATCGTGCAATTTTATATGAATTTTTGAATTTTTGGACCTTCAAGCCATATCTCTCAAACGCAACATGCTAAATTCAAAATTCTTTTTGTATTTGGTTTGTTACGTAGGAGGTATATAAAAAAAAATTTGAATAATGTGTGACGCCATCATGACGTCGTCAAAAATGCGATTTTTAGGGAAAGTCTGATTGTCATGAAACTTGGTGGGTAGGTAGATAATGGTACTGGTATGCAAAATCCCAAGTGACATCACGATGATGTCATCGGTTGATTTTTAATGATTTTTTTAATATTTTGAA